AACCGTCGCCGGAATGTGGACAGACATAGGCATTCTCGGGGTATCTTGCCAAATTTTTCTATAAAACCAAAGGCTCACCTCATACCTCTCACACCACATCTTTCAATATTTTCATTTCTTAGAGTTTAACATTCATACTCCATTCATTCTCAATGGAAGAATATAGGAGATGCTTGGAAAGGCATGAGCGAGAAAGAAAGGAGAGAAACCGTAGAACCGATGAAATCAATGAGTTGCAGAGACAAGTCGATGAACAAGTTGTCATAGCAGTGGCTTTGCAAGATGAAGAGAACCAAGGTCGTCACCGTGGTTCACAAGTCGGCCGCCACCGGAATGTGGACAAACATAGGCATTCTCGGGGTAAGAATCTTTAACTCCCAGGAACCTCCAAAGGCTTCTACAAAAAGCCGAAGCTCGAGGATTTCTAGGAATGGTATCGACTGCATGCATTGGGAGTGGAAGAATTGCCCAACTGCTTGGCAAGGAGATTATGGGAATAGGAAGGGCCAAAAAACTGGGGTTTTGGTTCCGGAGCAAAAGCTTGCAGCTGTTATACGAATGTTGGCGTATGGAGCATCCGCTGATCAGGTGGATGAGGTTGTCCGAATGGGGAAGTCCACCACGTTGGAGGCTTTGGTAAGATTTTGTGATGCAGTTGAAAATCTGTACACTAGGGACTACCTGCGTAGACCAACTCCCAGGAACCTCCAAAGGCTTCTACAAAAAGCCGAAGCTCGAGGATTTCTAGGAATGATTGGTAGCATTGACTGCATGTATTGGCAATGGAAGAATTGCCCAACTGCCTTGCAAGGTGATTACGGAAATAGAAAATGCCAAAAAAGTATCATCCTGGAAGCCGTTGCTGGGTTCGACACATGGGTTTGGCATGCCTTCTTCGGAGTTGCCGGAGCCCAAAATGATCTCAACGTCCTGGGTCAATCTCCGGTCTTCAACGATATTTTGAGAGGCCAAGGCCCCAATATTACCTATCAAATCAACAATACAGTCTACCAGACGGGGTATTATCTAGCTGACGGCATCTACCCAAGGTGGACCACATTTGTCAAATCCATTCCGAATCCCCGATCCTAGAAGCAAAAATTATTTGCTACCTATCAAGAGGGATACAGGAAAGATGTCGAAAGGTGTTTTGACATCCTTCAAGCTCGGTGGTTGATTGTTCGAGGTGCGGCCCGTATGTTTGATGAAGAGATCATTCGAAACATTATGATGACTTGCATTATCCTTCATAATATGATTGTGGAGGATGAGTACGATTATGATGCTGGAGAGGTCTACGAACGGGATCCAATGAACACGGCTTTGACCCGGATTTATGAAAGGCCCATGGGGCTAAGTGGAGAACCGTTTGAGCCGGAACCGTTGGTAAGGGACGATCGTTTCATGACCCGGATGATAGATCGATATACAGAGATGCAATCTTCGTATATTCATGAAAGGCGCAAACTTGACTTGATGGAGCATCTATGGGCGGTGAGCGGGAATGAAGATGAATGATGGAGTATAGATGCTTTGGTTATGTTTTATTTACTTATGGTTTGGTTGTGTTGTTTTTTATTGCTTATGGTTTGATTATGTTGTTTATTTATTTATTATTGTGCCTTGTTTGTAGTTTTTTTTAAATTTTGAAATATGTTTTGTTTGATGTATAGAATATGTTGAATAAAATGGTCTTTTATTGAATGCTTTGTTTATTAAATAAAGAAATCCAATACAAGTCATTAAGAATTACTACTACTAAAATAGAATACATGAAGTACTCCAACTTTAATACAAAACATGAAAAATAAAAATACATAAAAGGTATGCCAACTAATTTAATGGTTTTGATCATTTAACCAATCCGTGTTGCTAGGCCCATTATCCTGGAAAAGTCTTCTTCTCATAACATCCCTTCGTTCTAGCTTCCAATATTATTTTGTTTCAGGGGACATATGACTTGTATCCATCGCCATAGTTTCCCGATCCGTCTTCTCCCTTTCTTTGCCTTCGCAGCCTTTCGGCCAATAGGCCTCGGTTTCTTTTGGATGGGTGAGTCTTCACTCATAGGGGAATCGAGAGGTGAATCCAATGTCATTGAATCACGGAGAGGCGTCTCGTTTAACACGTGGGAATAATTATGAAGCGTTTACAATATTTCACCACCTCCCAACATTCATGATGGGTGAAACTTTTTTTGCCACCCCCGGTTGCACCGAACAACATCTGTGCTTGAATGAGCTATTTAACAAAAAAATGGAAATGCAATAAATATTTAAAATATATTGGATATGCAAGTAACAAAATAAAAATAATGGAAATGCAATTAACCTTACAAATAAATTGGAAGTGCAAGAAATATGAAGAAACAATTGGAAATGCAAGAAATATTAACAACATATTGAAAATGCAAGAAATATTAACAAAATATTTGAAATGCAAGAATATTGAAAATGCAATAAATATTAACAACATATATATATTAGGACATTAAACTTAATAAAACGAAAATTACAAAATACTTACCTCGTAAGTACGATTTTCCCCATTTCTATACAAGTTCATCGCTTTTGCCAAGGCATCTCTCCATTTTGCCATCTCTTTGTTGAGAAGTTTCCACCTACTCGACAATGCCATTTCCGGACGAGGCGAGTCCGGAATTTTTTC